GGGGGGGGGTTGGAAATTTTACGATGTGAGTTGCCCGAGATGAGTGCAGTTTCTTCGAAGGCTGTACTTGTGTAGTGATGAGGTCCAGAGATTGGAAAAAACTGGCAGGCGCTTGCAAAAGTTTCCAAAAAGAACGTTGCACGATGGTAAACTGTATCCCTTTACTGAGCAATTGTTCGTAGCTTCGTAAAAAGTTATAAAATGAGGTTGACTGCATTTTCGCGATTTCCATCTAGTGGTTTGAGAAGATTTTGTTCGAAAACATGAGTCTATTAGTGGATAGCAATATTGAGTTAGGTCGGTCATTGAAACGATCACAGCAGAACCACATTATCATTCGGTCTTACATTGTCGTATGCGAACGCTTATTTATCAGGCAATAGTTGTCTTGTTATCAAAACCATCTTCCATTTTCTTTTCTACACCGTCATTCAAATTCTAGAGACAAATATGGAAAGCACTACAATGAGCCTGGGTATCTCTCGGTTAAATGGGCTGGCTGTCAGAACCTTTATGCTTTACTGCCTGCGAGAAGTGTTGTAGCGATGTTCACTGGATCCTACGATTTAATCGGCAAACGGGTCAGAGAGGAGCCTTGTCGTGAAGGTTCGTGCAAACAGGCTGTGTCTTTTTCCCCTGTCACAGTTGTTTTCCATGTTTATGAAGGTTGCTTTTTCAGCTTGGCAGGCAATGGAGCAGGACCTAGCTGTTCCTCGCCCAACGTTTGACTATGTTCCCGAAAAGTACACGAAGATAAAGGTAATCCGCACAGTCCTGTCTTGAACTTTACTTTAACTCGTGCTTTTCTTGAATGGCTTTTTCTTCATATTGATAAAATACACCTTCACTTTAGACGGCTGTGTACCATCCAAGTTGTCCGAAGCCCCGTCTTGATGGTTGCGAAGAAACTGATAGCATGTGTGACTGCCCTCCCTCGGATAGTGATCGCTGTGGACCGAATTCGAAATGTACAAACCGAGCAATATTACAGGAGTGTCCCGAGGTAACATAACGTCTCAAACAATATTTTCATTATCCGCCTTCCGTTTTTTTTTTGTTCAAATTTTTTCGTTCAATTTACTGGAAGGATGTTTTTACCAACTCAGTTCAGTATTTTTGTCTATTATTCTTGAATATTTTATCACTTACAATTAGCTAATCATAACTTGTTTGCTTTACTTATATATGGTTTAATTATTGCATTTTTTGTATGCTCGAAACAACTTATAACTTTTGACCTTAAAATATTCATTCATTCGTTTGTTCATATTGTATACGATGCACACACAGCTTGACCATAACGAAGCCTTGACCGGCTAAAATATTCGAAAGATAATAATGATTACTTACTGTTTACACACCTGTTTGTCTTATTCCTCTTCGATTGACTTTGTTTTCTGATAGGTCTATGGCAGTCCTCATTTGAAAGGCACGGTATATCTTGGAGCGAGCGATATGTCAAGGAAATTCTGAGTTTCTTATTCTATTTTGAATGTTTCAGGCATGCGAGGCCATCAGTGGCGGTTGTAACAACAGGGGAGTATCGCGCAAGGAAGTGAATCCTGCAGTAGAAATACGTGAAGCACCAGGAAAAGGCATGGGAGCATTCGCAGTCCGAGACATACCCAAGGTCAGAGGCTTAAAATATATAAACCATACAAACGTACTTATTGATTGCCTTTCGCATAAAACTTCAATTTCCGGATGATTCCGAACTGAAGGGTAAAAGCTTCTATCACGCTTTCTAATGCCGCTTTTCTAGGGTGCGTTCATAGCTGAATATGCCGGGGAGATAATTAGCCGCAAGGAGAAGAATAGGCGGATTGCGGAGGTTACTGCACATCGGAATGTTGAGGAGAAACACTACATGATGGCTTTGGATTCACAGCGAATCATCGACTGCAAAGAGAAAGGCAATGATGCAAGGTATGTTAACTCGGTAGCTTCCTTGAAGAAGCATTCTTTGTTGAACCCTTCTGCTCGTGTTCTAACATATATGTTTTTTGATTCCTGAACCACTCATGCAGTCCGAATTGCAAGGTTGAGACGGTGTACGTGGTGGTCAGCAGAGTTAAGCGACCTAACGGTTTCCTTGTTAAGGTATTGTAGTTATAGTGTTGTTTGTTAACAAAGGATAAATGCGTTTGACGTTCATCAACACCGATTCGAGATAGGCCCAAGTATACGATTTCTATTCTTGATTTTGGCGGCGCTAACATCACTGTTAATTACATCGTTGTTACAATGACTTTGGGACCAGAAGTCAGACTTTTTTTTTCTCATAGACGGCTACCATCTGCTACCATTAACGTGAACGGCCTCATCACTTTCAATGGATGCCGGTTCAGTATTTGGGTGCCGGGGCCTTGCGTGTTATACCGCCATCTTTGCACTACCCAGCTTCTTCCCTCGTAATTATGAAAAGGAAAGATTTACTCTTTTTCTCGTCAGCGCTTGGAATCATTCTAGTGTAAGAAAACGCATTAAAATGCCGCCAATACTATTCCACCAAGAAGCTTGGAAAGATTGATGAAAGTCAAAGCTTTATTCTTTACCCTTTGTTATTTACTTAAATTCTATTGGCTTTATCCTTGTTGATCAATCTATGATTTGTTTTTCAGTATGATAAGCGCATAATGATTTACACCATTGAGGATGTCCCAGCAGGTATGCTACCGTTCTTTTCTAGCTTTGTTTGTTGCTATTTCAGTTGATTTTTCTGCATGCACTTCATGTATTCTTAACTGGTTTTTAACATAATCGATATGCTCGCGTTCACTTGACTGATTTGATCGAACTCTTCATTTTTCCTTAGCATCCAAACAAACAAGTTATACAGGTACTGAATTGTGCTTCAACTACCAGATGATACAGTATAACCTGGGCTGTCCTTTACCTGATTGCAAATGTGGCGCACCGAACTGCACAGGAACTTTGGGGGCAACGAGCGCCTCAATAGGTTAGTATACGTGTTCATCAAGTGTAAGGCTCTGAAATCCAAATCTTCGTCTATTAAGCACAGGAAAGAACAGATGTGGAGTCCAATTCAAGTGAAAATGGCAATAAGAAGCGGAAAAAGAGAACGGGCAAAGTGGTCCTTCCACAAGAACCACCGGAAAAGAAGACCAAGTCGTTGTCTCGAAGAAAAGTACCAAGCCCCGTGGATAGGTGTCCATCTTCAAGGAGTAGTTCTGAAAGAAGTCAAACCATAAGGTTGAACGGTCGCATCAGCCAACCAACGGACTCATTCCATGATGCATCATCTTCTTCAACATCGGAAGTGAGTAGTGGCGAAAGATTTGATATTGACTAGGAAATGAGTTGCTTTGAATGACATTTTAGAAAAATGAACAAGATCTGCCTAAGCCAGTGCGTCGGTCCAGAAATCGAAGACCAAGGACAATAAACGGGTTAAAAGGTTAGTTCAAATAAGTTTCTCTTCGATAACTATAAAAAACAAAAACCAAAAACATAACTTCTTATTCTTTTTCCGGGCCTTTATTGATAAGTTTTTCTGTTACATAGAGCACAGTCGATTTTATAGAACGATCCGCATAGCTTAGCACTTTTCCCTTCTAAAAGGAAAAAGGACTAATTCTTTTCAACTTTGGAAATTTCATAAATTCGAATTTTCTTGAAATGAGTGAAATTAAAGATATCGACAGGCGATATCTTATCTGGCATCGATATTGGGAGCTCACTGAAAAGGTCATTCCAGTTCTTAAACCATAGTAATTATTTCGTTCTTTTCAGAGCATATATCAGAAAACGTTGGTAATGAATGTTTACTTACAAGAGCGCTTTTAAAAGGAGAGGTGAGTTACCCTGTCTTGGTTTGATTTAAAATTTTGATATTTGATTAGTTTAGGCGTTAGAAACACGTTCTAGATCCAGTGCATCACCTCAAAGAAGCAACGATGTGATTGAAGGTATGCAAGTGCATTTTTCCTTCTATCATTTCAATTTTTTAATCAATTTCCCGAAATTATCTGTATGTTTGTGGTTTATTCAGGGTTGAAACGAACCCGACAAATAGCTGTGGAATTGTCTCCATCAAATGTTATTGTGTAATGCATTGAGCCGCATATCTAAGGTTTCGCATGTGCTGTGCTTTCTGATTTGTTAATTTGTTGATTTCTAGGGTTAAGCGTTGGTTATGCATTATTTTGTGGATGTAGGGCTATTTTCATTGTTTTGAGTATAGGGTTCCATTGGTTGGGTCTACCTCAATCCGCCTTCCTCTATTGGACTTTCGTATCTAAATCATCGTCCTGATCCTCAGTCTGCCGTTTAGTGTCTCTTTGAAGCGTAATAATCGTTCGCTGCCATTTTGTCGTCTATGTAAAGAGTAGTGTATGCCTAAGATCGGTTAAGTATTTGCTCTTCAATTGAGAGCGGGACTCCTTCATGGAAGGTGTGTGTCGTTCTTCTTGGAAATTATTTCTTTGTGTCATGTATAACTCATTGAACTACATTAATTTAATTTTCGACAGGATCTCACATAGGTTGCGCTTGCTGATTCCTGCCTATTTTCTTTAACTGTCTGTGTATGCAAACCATAAATCTATTATATCCAGTCAGACCTTTCTTGAAGAAGAAATTGGTTTATAGACAGGGTACAATTAGGAATCCGCAACCGAGCTATAAGCAGTCCCTAAATGTCTTTCTTTTCCTTTTCTTCATTCTACGACAACTGGTCTCAGGCAAAAAGTGTCCTGAAAAAGGCGATTGTAAAAGTAGGCATCGACAGGTACACAATTGCATTTAAGACACTGATTGACGCTGAAACACAAATTAGGGGGGGGGGTGGAAAAGTCACACTCTAACACTCTTGGGAATACAGCGAAACCACCGTCTCGATGGTGGTAACAAACTGCAATTCAAACGGTCATGTTGTCACTTAGAATACCGCGCGGAAAACATGGAGGTGTTTCGGGTTGTTGCTAGGGATCCACAAATCAACAGGTTGGGAAAGTCTGGGTCGTAACCCATGACCTCGTGCCCTTCCTCGAATTCTTCAAATAGTGAAGTTACGGTGAGATCAGGAAGGATGTGGGCCTGCTCATTGTATGCGGAAGTAATTCTGTGTACATCTGGCTCTCCGTCGGGGATCAAAGTAAGCCATGTTGCCCTCATTTATTCATCAGGTCCACGATGGTCTTGTGGTTAAGAGAGTGTTTTGAACACTGTCAGATTTCAGGTAAGGATTGGTCTCAACTGATTACTTTCAAGTTCGAAGAAGGCGAATAGGACGAAGAACCGGCTTGAAAACTTCTGTAGTTTTGGGACTCTTAGGCCAGTTTTCTCACGATGAATGAGACAGCTTGATGAGTCTAGTCTTCTGCTGGGTGAAAGCATTTCCTAAAAAGAATGGTCGTGTTAGTCAAGACAAACATCTGTGTATCTCTCATTTTGATTCGGATCTCGTAGTTTTCACCGTTCTTCGAGAGTACAGTACATCTGTATGTCGCGAGGTCGTCCACCATTTTCGTAGCACTACTGCCGTACTTCATCCAATGGGCCTTAGACTTCGATCCCACGAACGCTTCTGTTATGCCTCCTTCGTCGGCCAACTGAGTCTGTTTTAAATGGGGATACTGTCATGCTCAATAATGGGGAGTATGC